TTATTAATGGAAATAACAGTCTGGCACATCCCAAGTGAAGGAAAGTCAGTCTGGCTGAAAATTTGCGGAAGCAAAAATTTGACCGGTTTTTGAAATACGTAGCCCTTATTTTCCCATGCTTAAAATTTAACCCATTATTTGCTACTGTCATAAACTATAATCAAAATTAAGTCTGGCTGATTTATGAAATTGGCAAATTGTTCTGGCGGCATCTTGAAAATCGTAAGAATTACAAAAATTTTGCTCTTATTTTCCCGGATTTGAAAATTTGTCACATGATAAATAATACTATAATTTCGTAGAAAATACACGTCTGGCTGGCTTACAATCACGAAAGCCCCGCCAGACTCACAAGTCAGATAGTTAAATGAGGAGAGGAAGCGACGGGTGCTTATTTATTTAATTTAATTTTTTGGTGGCGGACGGACTGACATTTTTTTAGCCATATTTAAATTTTGCTTTACACAAATTATTTTCTTATCATACATTATGAAAAGTAAAAACATGTAGAGATGACAACAATCGCCTGTATAATTGAACATGCCGAATTTAGCGCGCCTGTGGAGGGTTGGACGAGTCTGGCAAGGCTTTCGGAGTGTTCCACATTAGCCAGACTATATTTGCAGCTGTAATTATAATATAAACTATCATCTCACAAAATTTTTAGGACTGCGAAAATAAGGGCAATGTTTTTGATAATTTTTCCACCTGCCAGACATATTACCCATACTCACAGATTAGCCAGACTATTTTTTTTCTTAAGTTCACTATATCTCTCACTTATGGAATTATTTTTATCACTGGAAAAAAAAGCGCAATATATTTGTACTTTATAACGCATTTTCCGCCTTAACCCATCGGAAACCCCCCCCCCTAAATATATATAAATTTTGCTCAGAATAACAAACCCAATAATTGTATCGGTGTTTGCAGACTGGGAAAATAAGTACCGAAAATCTTCACTGCCTCCCGGACTATAACTGTTAGATAGACTAACTGGAACTTAACCAAAGACTGATAAACTGGCCCTCAATCGCTTATGTAATTATCGACAGATCGATTAGACTAATACAATACAAAAAAATAGCACACATAATGTTAATACAGATTAAAAACATGAATAAAATATAATTAACATATATAATGGTATATTATTTATCAAGTTTGCCATTTTAGTCACGAGCGAGCTTGCGAGCGAGTGCCTAATTAAATAATTATTAAAATTTATCCTTTGAAAATAGCCTAAAAATCGATATAGAAGCAGTTTTTTACAGCAAACGAGAAGAACATGTTTTATGGGCACTGAACGCAATATTTTTAACGCTCTACCAGTTTAATCTGGTTAACATCACTACTAAGGCGAAATCAAATGGTCAAACGTTCATATACTCTTTTTTAAATACGCCAGTCAAGAAACTATTTAATACTTTTGCATTTTTAATTGAGATAATAAAATAATTTTCACATTTAGTATTATTTTACAAGAAAGGCACTTTATTTTAACTATTGTACATTTGACAACTGTCAGCTAACTACAGCCCGTGACAAAAAACCTGTTGCTATTTTCAGCCCGTGACTCGATCGCTATAAAGCCACAACTTGTGAATGGTTATTAAAAAGATCACTTAGTGTCATGGAAACATGTACGATAATGGGCGTTTTAAAGGTGGGGTACAAAAAATAATAATAACATTGTCTTTAATATTGCTTTCACACAAAAGTTACAAAGTTTATTACAAAAGTTAATTCCATAAAAATTAGGACCATTTTGACCCTAGAAAATTGATTAAATTTTTATTTTTAGTGTTATGGTTGTGTACACAATCCTGACTTTCTTTATGTATAAAACATTTAAAAAAATAAATATTTCAGGAAAAGTCACAATTCCAAGTCTTCTAAATTTGGCTCTGCAATCATCCTTGTAACCGAGGGAGGCAATAATTCTTATAATTTTGCGTTGTAGACTAAATATTTTTCTTACTACCTCGACTCAAAATACGTTGTTTCGTCCCCGATTTCACGGCAGAAAGTTTACGTTTCTTGCATTGGTCAAGCTATACGCGCACACTCTAATAGCGGGAGTAAAAATTTTTTAGTCGCGTGCTTAACATTTAAATTTCGTACTGCCAACATGAGAAACACAAAAATATGACAGTTTTAAACCATAATTTTGCAATTATAACAACAAATAAACAATTTATGTTTTTACTTTTTTACTTTTTATGTTGTTTTAAGTGTTTAATGGTACTTTTATTTGTTATAAAGTAGTAATTTGTTAATTAAAATACAACCTTTTATTTTTACTGTATTGGCACCGCTGAATTACCATGACAACGCTACAGTTTGATTGATTTTGAGTGTAAACGTCAGAATTAAATTAAACGTCAGATTTTAATTTTGACACAAATTTTTTTATATACATTTAATTTTTTCCCGTATTTTCTGCAGGGTAGTAAGAAAAATAGTATACACTACACGGGCAGAAAGTGTGAGAGTCCTGAACCGCGCAGTGCAGGAATCTCACACTTTCTGCCCTTGTAGTGTAATATACTATTATGTGCAATGAACCCAAACAATTATGCCATATGACATATGTGAAACAGCAAAAAATAAGCACTGACCAATACTTCACTGGACACTACCAACAAGATTACGAATAATAAATATGTTGGTATTCAACCTCTTTGATAGTGCATCTTTGTGACGGTTTCATCTTAATTATATACAAAAAAAAGTTTATATACAAAAGTGCTCTTTTAGTTCCACCCTTACTTCTTAAGAAGTCCCATAAGCCAACTGAATGGCTTGTGAGGGTTAGGGGTAGGAACGGACGGCGGGTTAAAGTCCCCTCCGAAGGACTATTACACAATAGGACAAACACAAATAAACAGCCATACCCCTCCAGGGCCCTGGTGGGATTCGAACGACCACGACCTCCGGCTTGTAGTCAGCAGCACTAACCACCGTCGGCGATAATTTTCTGTCAATTATGATTCCAAGAAATTTAACGGGTTTTTCATTAATTCATGAAAAAGTCTTAATAAGAAAATAATGTTTTGTGTCTTGCCTTTGTTTAAAACAAGTTTATTTTCAGAGAACCATTTTTTAGCCTGCGACAGTGCTATCTTAATCTTTGCCTCAAAATGCTCAAGAACTCTATTTTTAAAAAAAAATTATGCTTGAAGTTTTTTTTAGTAGAGTGTGAGAAAAAAGAATCGTTTGTAGGATTACAGATGTGTTTTTTTTAAGGAAATATTGGTTAAGCTTCTTTTAAAAATTTTTGAAAAAAAAGATATAGGTCTGAAATTGTTGGGGTCAGTAATTCTACCCTTATATATGGGTATAACAAGAGCCTACTTTCAGTGGCGTAGCGACAAATTTCGGGCCCCCCCGCGAAAATTATGATATCATTATTATTCAATTTTTAGTATAAGTAAGATGGAAATAAGTATTTTAATGTTTTGGGGCAAGTATCGGCCGGGCCCACTACGAGGTTAGGGCCCCCCGCTTGGAGGGCGTTCGCGGTACTGTCGCTACGCCACTGCCTACTTAACAAGTTTTTCGGCTTTCTTTTCCGTTTTATCACTGGTGCAGTTTGGTTGTGAGTAAGCTTTGTGCTTAGAATTTGGATATAATTCCAAAGATGTGTAGTTATTCTCCTCGTCTAATGGCCCAGAGCCGGCTTAAGCAGTAAATGTGACGTACGATAAACTAAGGGTGAGTTATTAATTTTTTGTTGAATCTAATTTCTTTTACCCACGCGGTTCTCCATTTTAGGAGGTTGTGTTATTCCAATATATTTCTTGTGGACCTAGTCTCCATGCGGTCGTGGCGTTTTAAGTTAGAAAAACTCCTTAGAACAATGGTAAGTCTGTAAGGCTGTAGTTTGCTGGATGCCAAGGCCTCTTTATGAGTTTTAAGTACGGATTTTTTAAAGTGCCTACACATTTTAATTGAGAGATTTTTAAGCTGGAATTTTTTTGGAGCTATTATGTTCTTTATTTTTGGATATATCAACCAAGTTTATGGAATCCAAAAGGACCATAACGCCAACATTATGGCAATATAAGGGTACCTTATTTGTTTAAACAATCAAACATTATATACAATCACCATCACGTTAACAACTGTGATAGAAGCTAACTATAATTTATATTTTTAAATTGGACTTTTTATGACCTGATATACCAATAAGTTTGTGTCTGGCTTAATTTGATTTTAACAACTGACCCTCTGTAGACACCAATTTTTTTATTTACCTTTAGTATATTGCTCGTAAGTATCAAAAAACCAATATTTGCCTATCGACCCAACTCACCACTGATAAGCTGCCGTTTGCCATAGCCCTTAAGTTAAGGTTACATTGTTACGAACACATTACGAATCAGAATAAAGTAAGCAGAACAATAAGTGGCAGACGCTAAAATTAGTTGAACTTGTTGATGCGTATTGTTGTGCTGAAGCAGGATGGTTGACAATAAAAAATCAGTGGGAAATGTTTTAATTGGCTGCCTAAAATCACATGTACTTTTTTAACGAAATAATTTGTTAAACATTAACAAAATAATCTGTAACCTATGAAAAACGCGAGCAAGGGTTTTCTTAGTCTATTGGCGGAATACTAACTGTAAAAAGTACCATATGCTATAATCGGCATTCTTTCCCGATGTCTATCGGCGACAACAATGTGCATTTTCCTAAATATTATAAATTACCGCGTAACACACATAATGTATAATGGCAGAACAGAGCAGTCGACACTTATTGTTCGGTCACACATGTTCGGGCATAACATCGAATATTTCAGTTTTCGGGTTTTAAGCGAATTTTCGAAAAATGAAATATCGGACAATAGGTATCTCTCTATCTATCGCAGGCCATTGTGTTTGGAACACATGATGATTTAGAGGTGCGTGGCCAAATTAAATGTACAGTATAGCGGCACATGGTTTACACGTTTCATTAATCAGTTTCATGGAAATAAAACACAACATTATGGATTACTTCTTTATTGTTTTCGACATATTATGCATGGAATATAGCAATTCAGTCACCTTTTTATCAATGTTACCCAAATAAAACATGGCGTTTTGAAAGTTGACTTCCTCGTCCTGTAGTAGTTCTAATATTGGACCCCGTTCACATTTAAGCATGGCAAAAACCTCCAAAATCCCACCCAGAACCATTTTTATCCTATTTTCAGTCGTCTTAAACTCTTCCTCAGCTTTAATAGCAGTTTTCTTGGCCTCGGTCAGCTCAACCTCAAGATTATCCACGGTGATGTTGCTATCCTTTGCCCTTTCTTCAGCCAACTTCTTTTGCTCCTCAATCTTCTCAGCCAAATTTTCATTGATTGTCTCATACTCCTCAATTTCGTGACTTAACTCGTTGACGTAGTTAAACAAAGCAAAGTTTTCTTCCTCTTGTTTCACGTATAAAGCCGCCATTCTATCCACGTTTTCTTCATCACAGTAACTTCTTATTTGCCTTAAAGTTTCTTCGTACGTCTTCAATTGGTCGGCCATACATTGCTCTTCTACCTCTCTTTTTATTCTTTCTTTTTCCTCCAAATCGCGTAGGATCCTTTTTTGGCCTTTAATACATAGGAAGTCTTTTAAACGATTGTCGTGGTCCAGTTTTCTCTTTATTTCCCGCATTTCTTCCGTGTGAACCTCTAAATCTTGGTCAGCGCGTTTCTTTAACGCCTCCAATTTCGAGCTCCACTCTTCGCGTTGATCGTAAGCCAAAGTTGCCTGGTCTATCAAGTCCATCATCAACTTTTTTCCATACTTTAAATCCTGAAGTAATTGCTCCCACGTATAATTGAACTGGCATCTTTCCACTAATAGATGATCAATTTCCTCGCGCAGATCCTTATTATCCACTATTGTGTTGCAGAATTTCTTCACAGTATTTTCCAAACGATTCTCTAAACATTTAACAGAATTATTGCCGGATTTAATGCGATACTGGTATTCATCTTCGGACACCAAGTTTTCTAAGCGCAATTTTTTAATTTGGGCTTCGACTTTTTTGTGCTGATCATCAATAGCCCTTATCTCACTTTTATATTCATCAATTTCATTGCAATATTTTTTGTGCTTTATCAACAAACCTTCAACACTTTTAGCGTACTTCCAATCCTTTTTCGCATGACTCTTACACGTGGCCACCCTGAGATCCTCCTCTATCTTGCTTTTTTCTTCACGCAACACTTTTATGAATTTCCTTTGCCGTTCCAGCTTTATCCTCGCTTCGTCCGCGTAGGCCATGCGGTCTTCCTCCATGATTCTCAGCTGCCTTTGCAGCCTGCTTAGTTCCTCTTCCGCCATCGTTGTCATTTCTTTTTCTGTCGCTGCTTGATTCGACATTTTATAAAAATAGTGTTACACAAGTATAAACTGTTCAGTTAGTTTTGGTTAGTTGGTTTTAAGTTTGTTTATCGGTTGCATGGTTACAAGTTTAAGGGAATAAAGTTTGTTGGATCGATAGTTTAATATTTTGTTTTGGAAATACATATAATAGAAATGAATAAATATAATATCGAAATATAGTAAAATTATTAATTAATATTGAGAAAAAATTAATGGTAAGATTCCTAGTTTACTGAAATTCTTCGTTTCTATATTAATGCAAAATATTATATTTGTTCTAAAATATAAAAACCCCAACAAAATCAACTTCTTAGTAAAAATGCTTTATTTTTAATTTTAATTATTCCAATATTTTAAGGATGTGTATATTTTTTATTTGATTCAAACAAACCGAGATTCGATAAACAGTTAAAAGGACCAAAAATGATTATATTACATATAATTTTTTTTTTTTTTTGAAACAAATATTAAAACGAATTAAAAGTATAAAATAAAATATATATATAAATATTAGTGCTTCAAAAAAAAAAATTTTAATTGCTTTTTTTTGCTCTTACCCTATCAAATGTTTCTATAAAATCCTCACCATATATGGGTGTTCCAGCTCAACTCTAAGAGGGCGCTGTTTTTATTTTAGTTTCCCATTTAATTAACATGGGAAAAAATAATTTTATGTTTGGAATTTTATACCTCTGTATCAAAGTAACTTATGCCAATGATCATTGCAGTTTTTTATATAAAATGTAACGCTCTACAAAAAAGGTCTCTTATTATTTTTCGATAAATTGATTTTTTCTAAAGTTATTCATTTTTTCATTTTATGGTACAATTAGCAGACGGGAGGTGAAAGGGGGCAAAACAAGGCAGCGGGGGGGGGACAAAATGGGGTACCCAAAAATTTTTGTTAAAAATTTTTTTTTTAGATTGTTTTTTTTTGGTTTCTAAATTATTTGAAAATATATTGACTCACAAGTTCACGCTTTTAATTGAAAATAATTATTCTGAGCCTGTAGAACGAGAAAAAGGAAGGTACAAATTTGGAAAACTTTTCCATGGAACTTTTTTTTCGGATTATATGCAAACTAGGGTGCTTCAAAAAAAAATTTAATTTTTTTTTCAACTCTTTCCCTTCCAAATGTTGGTGATTGATAAAAAAAATTAAAAATTTTTGGGTAAATGTGAAACTAAAATAAAAACAACGACCTCTAAGAGTTGAGCTGGAACGCCCATATGATATGGTGATGATTTTTTTTATATTAAATACAAACATTTGAGGGGCTAAGAGCGAAAAGCACCCTAATATATATATATATATATATATATATATATATTGAAACAAAATTAAAAATATAAAATAAAATAAATTAAATTTAAAAATTTCAAAAACTAAAAATAACACAAGTTTGAGGAAAATCTCAATACAATTTTTTCAGAAAACAACTAGTTAATAGGAAGTTTCCTTCTTATTTGCTTGCAATAATTCTCATTCTGATTTTTTTCGCAATAAAATAAATGCCACTGTTTTAAATTATTAAAAACAACAGTTAATTAAAATATACAAACATTGATAAACTCTATTAGATTAGATTATTTATTATATTAAATCAATTAAGAGATAATAAAGTGAATGGCAACAAAATTACATAATAAATATTTTAAGAATTAGAACGGATATATGGATGGGTCTTTAATCTGTTTATACCTACAAAATTAAATGTGCACTATTAAAGTGAATTTTGGAATCGAGTTTTAGAATAATTACACTGATCGACAAAATGATTTTTTTTGGAACAGGGGATCCAATAACTTTTCTAGGGTAATTTAGATGCGCTGATTTAAAGTGTCACGCCAACAATTTTTGTCCGATTTTAATAAAATTTACAAAATTGTGTAGCTTTATTAATGTACTATATTGTGAAAAATTTATTTTTACGATGAAAATAAATTAAAAAATATCTAGAAAAGGGACCAACCGACTAATACTCCAAAATGTATGGGCCTTTAAAATGAGGTGTCACTCGTCCCCTGTTCCCTTTAGGGATTGATGTGGGGTTAAAGATATAAACCCAAATTGAACTACTAAAATTAAAATTATATGTGTGCGATTTTTATTTTTTACACCTAAGAAAACCGGGGTGGAAACTTTCCTTTGGCCCACCCTGGATGTATAAACTCATTTTAATTAGGTACTCATCTAAACTCCCTCTAACTCAAACAGTTCAACATGTCAGATGAAAAATCAACTTGGAGGAAGTTGACTGAATACTAAAAATGAATTTCACCTAAGCATAGGAAAACTGAGGGTTACCTACAAGAGTTCATGTGGCATGATGGATGTTTCTCTTGTTCACAAGATTTTTTTTTTTGGAATTTCTTCGACCTATGTCGTACAAGCGAAAATGACCGTATCTAAATATAAATTTTGACGCGGTTGTTTTTAGTGTCACTTTGGAAATTTTTATTTGATTGCGTTAAAATTTTAATAGTTTATTAATGTGTTTAATTTTAACCTAGAAAAGTGGAAAAATGGCTGTTGAGCAGTGTTCTTAGATTTGTGTTGTTATTATATTATTGGTCACTCGGGTATTGAAAAAATCCTAATGCCCTTTGAGTAAATTTTTTTCAATGTTTAACTCATTCTTTGCCAATTTAATTTTTGTTTTGGAGTAAAAACAAATTTTGAAAATAAATATATTATTAAAAAAAATAATAATTATACAAATAAATCACCTTAATTACTCTTGCTTATGCGTCGTATAAGTACTTATGCAGTGTTGCCAGATTGTTAAAGCCAAATGATTCAGATGGAGCTTGATTTCCCCCTAGAATTTAGTGATTTCCCCTAATTATGTAATTTTAAAATTTCAGTTAATTAAAATATACAAAGAAAAATTTTCTACTCTAGTATTATTTTTGTTTTTTGGGTGAGAGTATGAAACTATTGTATTTTTGTGATTTTGATTGATTTGAAGGGGAGCACACATACTGCCCATTGTGCAAACCCCCTTTTGATGGAGCCCTGCCTTACCTTAGAAGCCCGCAGCGTTTAAGAAAAACGCAGAACCTCTCTGGTTGGGCACGCTTTATTTTCTCTGGTTCCAGATACCTGTCCCCGAGGTGTCTTATTATGATATTGTATGGACTAGATCGTCGCATTCGCAGACTTTATGCTCGGTAGATTCGCTACTTCGCTTCAGTACCTACAATCCGTATCGTTGCTGAGTTCGGTTTTGTGCAGGTGATATTTGACTACCCAGTGCCCTGTTAGGCTCCTGTTAGTTGGTTCCTGTTTAGTTTCAGTAATCTTTCTGCTTATTTATAGTTTATAAAGACAGTTGACCGTCTGAGGCCTTGTTTTTCTCGCCATTTGTTCTGGAACTGGTTGTTAGTCCAGTTCCTGGTCTTGGGTTTCACCAGACAGGAGGCAACCCCTATAGCAGATTCTGGCCCTATAAAGAGTGTGTACTGCCCTCAAGAGCCAGCTGGATACCTTGATGACCAGTTACCCAGACGGGGTGACCTTGATGAGCTCACTGGGTTTATTATTTTTTACGGGAACGGGAACGGGAATCCTAACAATAAAGGTGGGAGAGACTAAAAAACCACTGTTGATAGATAGGGTTCGCTAAGTCTCTCCCACCTTTACCGTTTAGTTTTCCGTTCCCGTTACCGGGCTGTTGTGCAGCGGGCTTTAGTTTGGCCGTAAATGCACAAACCTGTATAAGGGGTTGCATATTGGTTATTCATCACGTCCAACGTTGAACAATATTTTTCTACGGTTTTATTGGAATATTTGCTACTTGTTTATTTATTATTTGTTAGGATATCCACCGTAATAACACACTCTGTAAAAATTTGGTCCAAAAGATACAGCCGAGGGCAGATAGACAACGCGTTGCAACGTAGCAAAACAGTTTTCATTCATCTCTGAAATGTCAAAATAGCTAAAAAACATCGACATAACCTGAAAATCGAGATTTAAAAACAATATTAAAATTTTTTTTCCCTGTTTTAAGAAATTGATTTAAATTAAACATTTGTTACTATTTTATCAGCCCTCCATATTCACTTATAGTAACTTTTTTTGCTAAAAATCGACAAAACATTTACAAATAATCTGTACTGATTCTTTCGCTTATAGAACCAGCCATATTGAATTTTCTAGCAATTTGAAAAAGCTGTTTTATGTATTAGCGTTAGTAGGTAAAACAATGTCAATAAATTTTTGGAAGGTCAATTTAGCAAAGCAAAGGAAAAATTGAAGGAAGTAAGGACGTCGATAGGATGGGAAAGGTTGCAGGAGATCGGAGAGCAGGCAAACTTTTACGGCGTTAGCTATTTCGGTAAACAGATTTGGGTGAATTACCGGTGCCGACGTCGCACATAAACCGGAATACGTCGGTCGGAATAGTTTTGCTTATGGCATGGGTACGAAGGTATCGATCCCCGGCCCTTCGGCGCAAATTTGCTTCATATTTATACATGTTCTCGCATTTCCTAAGCCTTCCTCCACATCATAATAAAAATCCCGATATTGGGATATTGGAGAAAAAATCACAAAACTTCGTAAAGCGAGAGACACACTTATGTGTTTGAATGCGTGTGTGAGAAGAAAATGTATACATTTTTTAATAAATCTCTCATTTCGCCTGCTCTAAATGCTTCAGGTTTTAGTAGCATGACTTTACCAGAGGATGTTATTTTAAGAAAAAAGTTTCCAAATATTGGTCCTTTCTTGAATAATTATATTACACTTATGTGTTTGAATGCGTTTGTGAGAAGAAAATGTATACATTTTTTAATAAATCTCTCATTTCGCCTGCTCTAAATGCTTCAGGTTTTAGTAGCATGACTTTACCAGAGGATGTTATTTTAAGAAAAAAGTTTCCAAATATTGGTCCTTTCTTGAATAATTATATTATTATAATATTCTAAAATATCAAAAATGATTTTGGTATATACATATAAACTTAGTGGCATAAATTTAGGAGCAGATT